TAGGTGTGCAAGTGCATAGGTGTATGGATGCATAGATGTATAGGTGCATAGGTGTATAGGTGCATAGGTGTATGGATGCATAGGTGCGTAGATGCATAGGTGTATAGGTGCATAGGTGTGTGGATGCACAGGTTTATGGGCGCATAGTTGTATAGGTGCATAGGTGTATAGATGCATAGGTGTATAGATGCATAGGTGTATAGGTGCATAGGTGTATAGATGTATAGGTGTATGGATGCATAGGTGTGCAAGTGCATAGGTGTATGGATGCATAGGTATGTAGGTGCATAGGTGTTTGGATACGTAGGTTTATGGGCGCATGGGTGGATAGGTGCATAGGTGTACAGGTATATGGGTGTATAGGTGTATAGGTGTGTATAGATGTGTATAGTATAGGTGTATAGGTGTATACGTGTATAGATGTACATATGTGTACATGTGTGTATAGGAGTATAGATGAAGTTGGTATAAGTAAGTTCAATGCAGTGTCCAAATTTAACTACTGTCCAACTAGAAACATAGGTCTACTTCACTACTGAACTTCAATATTAACTAACAATAATTGGTCAGCTATACATAGGTACTCTAACTTCATAGCCTCACAGGTACTCATAATGTCCATACACGGTTATGAATACACAAAAATGCTATCATAACACAATCAACTAAAAATTTGTAGGTTATGAAATTTCGAAGGGCGGGAAATTCAAACGTTTATTACTTCCGTTAGCAAAGTAGAAAGGAGTAAAAGAAACGACACGAAATGTGGAGCAGAACCTCTCCGCGAACTCTCGCGTTTCCCTTTGTCTCGTAGAGCATTCGACAAATAATCGGTCTCCCCTCTGGCGCAATATAATGATATACCTCGAAGGAATACTCCCGTATTCAGCTGCCTACATTCGTACGCCTCGGATGAAATTGTCTCGCGAAGTGGCTCACAAATATATTACAATAAGAACGCAATATTCTCGTCAGACTTTGGGGTAGTATTGGCTATTCTCGAATCGCGTCTGATTTTTCTCTTCCTTCAAAGTGATTTTTCTCCTCTCTGCCGGTGGTAGCTCTACAAAGATGTGCCTCGGTGGGCACAGATGGTACACAGTGATTTATATACACGTATGTGCCGGCTCTGTGTATATTCTGCGAAAGATGGCGATATCGTGCGACAGAAATGATAAATTTTGCGTGGGAATTCCGAGGTTTAGTTCGGAATAAAAACGGTGGAAGTTAGAAATGAAACGGACGGCGAAAGTTAGATATTTTCCTGCGCTCGGGGCTTTGGGGCGGGGCAAAAGCAAACTAACTTTACTATAAATTGTGTAGGAGGCTAGTTATATCTCTAAATTGTATTGTAGGCTGTTTATACCTCTAAATCCTATTTCTTTTTCGTGTAACTCGTCTCACAAAGCTAATTTAAGCTACTAACAGAATCGCAACTTTTCGACGACATATGCCTGTAAGGTGGCCAAGGGTTGATCCCCGTATCTCTGTCAATATTGTCCCTCCCTTTTCACGAGGGGACAGGCTATTGTTTGGCTAGGAATTTTAAAAGCATTAATGCGCTCTCCAAACCGTCTAAAAAATAAAGCACAGGCAAGGAGTGGCGGGAAGGAATCACGTGTTTATCGAGGAAACACGAGCTACGCTGAAGTGTCAATCAATCGCCCGGAGAAGTCAAATATTTGCCCTTCCAATTATTCGGTCGACACGCGAGTCGTCGAAAGGGCAGACGCCCGGGCACGATCCAATATCGTCCCCAAATACGTGTATCCATACCATTTGTCGCAACGTATAATTTTCCTAATTATCTCTGAATCACTCTGTGTTCCATTGCAAATTGTACCACAACTTTGTACCATCTGTTCATGTCGAATATTTTTGGTACACCTGCGCTGTGTGAAGTATCTCGTATTTTATTAAAAATAATTGTTAACAATTTTACAAGATACTTCTTTCAGGCAATTCTTAAAGTAGAATGAAGGTTGTCATTTTAAAAATATTATTCTATGAAAAAGTGATTGTCAGAAGGATCTTTTGTAACAATTATTAATGAAGTGATTAAAAATTGCATGCACATAAAATGTAATAATCTATTATGTATATACATGCATAAAATATAGGTTCTGAATTAGAAGAATATTAATAAACTATCCTTAACTATTAAGCTTGCATATATCCGGTGATTAAAAATAAATGCATTCAGTTAAGTAATAAATTATGAAACTGTCAGTCACCTAAGAGAATCGATTTTCCCTGGGTTCACGCTTAGCGCGTATCGGAAAGGGTCGAAAGAAAAAGTTTCGAAGCTCCGATTAATATGCGCTAACGCTATTAATTAATGCCGGTGATAAAACGTGTACAGGAGAAGGGTAGGATTCACGGTCCGTAGATTCGTCGTTGAAACGGCAGTCACCCCTGACGTCTTAACTTCGACATCAGAGAGAGGGCTGTTTCCGGGGCCCGATATTATCTGCAGGAGAGTGCTCGAGAATATTATACGTGCGTGGGGTGCACACACGCCCCCGGTGTATCGAGGGCCAGCTACTTTAACCGTACTCGAGAGCGTGGCGCGATAGAGAGTGTCTACAGAGGAGACCCGTCCTACCTAACTATCCTCAGTGTCGACTGCTTGCTAATCGAATTATCGATCCCTGTCCCCAGACTGGCTCTCGAAGGGAATATTAGATTTTCGACGAATTTCAATGCGCGACGCGAGCCATCGCCGCGGGCTTCTTTCGCATTCCGCTTTGTCGCGCTTCCTGTTAACGCGACACGTACCTCCCCTTTCAACGATACCCTTACGTCGTTACTTTCGCGATAATTTCGTTGCGACGGTAATTGAAGGAAACCGGTGTTTCTTCTTCTTTTGATCTCCTCGATTGATACTTTCAACGCTTCGAACTTTATAACTTCAGTAATGGCACCACTTATGTTAGAAACTGTGGGATATTTTTAACTTGATCTGACTTGTTGTAACATAATTTACCTTAATCTAACTTAAACGAATCTATTGTAACGTAAATGCAGTTTAATGTAACATAGTTCAATTTAGGTTAAAGCCATCACTAGCTGCTGATGATCACTGTAGCAGCAGTGGTGTTATTAGTTAGTAGTGGACATTCTATTCTAACTTAAACGAATCCATCGTAACGTAAGTGTAGTTTAATCTAACATAGTTCAATTTAGGTTAAAGCCATCACTAGCTGCTGATGATCACTGTAGCAGCAGTGGTGTCATTAATTAGTAGTGGATATTCTATTCTGACTTAAACAAATCCATCGTAACTTAAATGCAGTTTACGTTAACATAGTTCAATTTAGCTTAAAGCCATCACTAGCTGCTGATGATCATTATAACAGCAGTGGTGTCATTAATTAGTAGTGGACATTCTATTCTAACTTAAACGAATCCATCGTAACGTAAATGCAGTTTAATCTAACATAGTTCAATTTAGGTTAAAGCCATCACTAGTTGCTAATGATCATTATAGCAGCAGTGGTGTTATTAGCAATGAAAATCTTCCAAATGAAGCTGCTAATAATTTTGAGCATAATTTGGAAACTTGAGGTATTATTTGAGTGGACATTCTATTCTAACTTAAACGAATCCATCGTAACGTAAATGCAGTTTAATCTAACATAGTTGAATTTAGCTTAAAGCCATCACTAGTTGCTAATGATCACTATAGCAGCAGTGGTGCTATCAATTAGCAATGAAAATTTTCCAAATGAAGCTGCTAATAATTTTTAGCATAATTTGGAAACTTGAGGTATTATTTGAGTGGATATTCTATTTGTACGTGTTCCCTAGATAGTAATAAATTTAGGTTAAAGCCATCACTAGCAGCTAATGATCACTACAGTAGCAGTGGTGTTATTAATTATTAATAAAAATTTTCCAAATGAAGTTGCTAATAATTTTGAGCATAAAACGTGAGGTATTATTGAAGTGGACATTCTATTTGCACGTGTTTCCTAGTAGTGATAAATCGTGGAAACGTATCTGGGGGCACTTACCATCGAGCAACATGTATATGAGACATCACGTGCGTCGAGGCACGTTTTCTCCCGGCAGACAAGTGGAAAAGAAGGAAAGGGGAATGGGGGATGGTAAGAAAGAAAAGTATGAGGGATGGTAAGGGAAACGTCGGGGAAAAATTCCAATATGCCTCGCAACTCGGAACGGCTGTGCACGGAATGCGTTCGAGTCCTTGATTGTGCATCGAAAGCATATTTTTCTCGTACTTCCGATATTGCAGCGGCGAGTTCTTCTCTTTGTAACTGGGCTGCGCCATTTGGATCTCCGGTTTCTTTCCTCCCTCTCTCGGAAGATGTATTTTTCGGTGACGCGCGTGCGAGGGCCACGCGTGGCCCGGCAGAAAAATTGTCCGCGTTGAATCGCGAGCACGATATCAAGTCCGTCTATCTAGAACGCATCCAACTTCCACCGATGGGGAATATACATCACGCTCGCTCGGCAAACACCTATCCAACTGAATTGCGGCCGTATCGCGGTGAAGCTTGTACCTGACTCGAACAACTTCCGTCGCGCGTTCTAAATATCCTCCGGGAGACATAGCTCGAACAAAAGTTATAATTCGGTCGCGGCTCGTATCCGTTTCACCGTCAGATCTCGTACTCCCTCTCTAACCTGTTTCTTCCGCGCTGTTGCAGGTGATGCATCGCTGTCGCGTCGGGCTTTCGGCTGAATCGGTACGCAAAACGACGAGCCAGTCGGATATGAGGTCCGTGTAACGCGAGCGGAAGAAGAGCTCCTTTCTTGAAACAAGACCTTGAAGCTTATACCCGTGATCCGATCAGAGAGTGGTTAAAACAACCCGAAGAAATCGGTAGATGACTTTGAGTGAACGCCGGTTGGCCGACCCGCGTCCAACGCCGAAGACGTACCCGG